TTCACCTCGGGCGGCCCTGCGCTCAATTCCCCTGGGATTCCCCTCGGGCGGCCCTACGCTCAATTCCCCTGGGATTCGCCTCGGGCGGCCCTACGCTCAATTCCCCTGGGATTCGCCTCGGGCGGCCCTGCGCTCAATTCCCCTGGGATTCTACTCGGGCGGCCCTGCGCTCATTTCCCCTGGGATTCGCCTCGGGCGGCCCTGCGCTCATTTCCCATGGGATTCGCCTCGGGCGGCCCTGCGCTCATTTCCCATGGGATTCGCCTCGGGCGGCCCTGCGTTCATTTCCCCTGGGATTTGCCTTGGGCAGCCCTGTACTTATTTCCCCCACACCAGTGTCAGGTCATATTTCAGCCAGAGCTAGGAAGCCGCGCGGTAGACACAGTACGAATGGGAAAACCCTGTGGGGAAATGGCCCAGGGCGCCACACGGTGCGAATGAGGTGTTATTACCCAACATATTGTGCTTAAACATTTTCCCACCCTGCAAAGTGTCAGCTGACATCCACGTAGCTGGCGTACCAGTCTGACCAGCACTATGCCGCAGGACCACGCTGACATCGAGTGGAAGTTCGCCAGGACCAAGCTGTGGATGAGCTACTTCGACGAGGGGGGCACGCTGCCACCACCCTTCAACATTATCCCCAGCCCCAAGTCCATGTGGTACCTGTGCGTCTGGCTGCATGGTCGGCTGTGTGGCAAGGGACCGGCGCCAACGGATGAGCAGAGGAAACACGAGAACTTGAAGGAGTTTACGGTAGGGTCCCCCCCCCCCAGCCATTACGGCATGTTTAAGGTGAGTGGGGCACCAGATCAGGGAGCCAGTCAGTACCTACCTGGGACTCCAAGAAGTGATGTATGTCATTGTTGTAGCTCAGAATAAGTGTGATGACAAGGTGATTCAGGGCAAACAGGATGAGCTGGGGACAGGTGTAACCTAACCACATGACATCGAAACACTAGCAAAATCATTAAGAAAGATGCAAGGTAACAGCACAATGCATTTTATATCTTTATTCTGTTAACGGCCATCCCAAGGAGGAGCATCCAAAAGCTATAACAACTCTACACATTTAATAATCACTGCAGTAGACTGGCACTCCATGGAAGGCTTCTCCTGGCCGGGCCCCCCTACTCGAGGATGAGAAATTGAAAGATAGATGGGTACAGTTACATTTTATTTGCAGAGACTTTTATCCCAAATGACATACATTTCTGACACGAAAGAGTCAGCCAGTACCTGCAGCAATTGCGGTTAACGACCCTGCTCAAATACCAATAATAAAATCATCCTGCCGACCCTAGAATTTGAACCAGCAACCTTCTGATCACAGACACAACTTCATAACACACTGCAACCCAAGCCTTGATGATTAATAATTACTATCAAATAATAATTTAATCTCTTTTTAAGGGTGAGAATCACTGTAATAAAGAAAAAATAATAATTCTTTGAAAAAGGTGCAAATGTCTTGAACAGGGGCGGATTAACGCACAGGCTAGATATGGCTTAAGCCTAGGGGCCCCACGTGTGTCAGCCTGCAAGGGGGCCCCCATTGGCGCAGAGGGGGGTGGGGTTGGGGGGCCCACAGACTACTGTAGCCTAGGGGCCTCTGTGCACCTTAATCCGCCCCTGGTCTTGAAGTCTGCAATTTGGAGGTGATCAAAGATGCGCTGCTACGTGGCTGAAATACACAGACCAAGCTGTGAAGCTACGGAGACTTTACAGTTACTGCTCTCTGACATCTTATTACCATGCAGTTAAGAGCATGAGCTCACTGCATATATGCCACTCATATTTACCCACTAGAGTTCAGCCATCAATGCATTACCCCACCAGCCAAAAGCTTCACTTATCAAAATTAAGGCTCTGATCTGATTTAAATTGATCTTTTTACCTCAAGGAATAAAAAGTTATCAGCTAAACCAAATCTCAGAGCTATTTTATCGATTCCTTAGTGTGTTCATTCCATTTGTAATCTTCAGTTTAAATATACATTAAACAAACTTGATGAGTTCAGGTTTCTGACCTTAGAAAGGTATTACTTGCAAATCAAACGCAGGCAGTTCCGCTGCCTAACTCTGTCTTCAAGTCTAATTTGTTGGTAAATTGGGATAAAAATAATATTGTACAGTTCTACGTTGGGTGACTGCATACGGTGCTGTACTGCACCTCGAGCTAATGAATCACTGAAGCCAGGCAATGTTTTCATGAGCATCACAAAGTGGTGCATACGCTCATTATTATGAACCTTTGTATTTAACCTGAATTTTTAAATATACATTATAATTTTTTATATAATGGCAGTCCGTTTGTAAGAATTAACGGTCTGTAGACACTCCTGGCTTCAGGACTGCCTGTAAAATACTCGTACAGACAGCTGGAATGGTACAAATTTAGGACACAGCCTTGTACCCAAAGGTTGCTTGCTGGTACAAGACCCAGCTGGGTTTCTTCCAAGTTTAAGCAGAACACTTCCTAAGTAGCTGTGCAAAACATCCATTTATCGAATCAGACCGTGATGGGACATATTCTGTTATGACAAAAACACCAGCTAGAGTAACAGAGAGCAGTGTGACTCGCATCTTATACAAACCATGCGATCATGTTACAATTATAGCACTCTATGCCAGTATAGCCAGTAAATCGGTTCGAGTCCGTGTGCTTATCCAGCACTTTGTCACCCACTGAACCAGTCACACTGCTTGGTCTGCATCACCATTTCCAGCACATTCACCCACACAGTTTCAGGTACCCACACAAAGGCCAACATGCTCTCTTACACTCTCTCACACACTCTCTCTCTCTCTCTCTCTCACACACACACACACACACACACACCCACCAGAAAAATCAAATCAAACCAAAACCCTACCAATTTTATGTAAGACCTATAATGTGGAAATGACAGCAGTCACCATGACGATGAAAAAGTTCAGCAGAGCTTTGAGCAGTGGTATTTTTCATTAAAATTCCCAGGAGCTCACTGGGGAAAGTTCTGAGTATAACAGATAGAGATGGGGGGACATCTCTTGAAAGTCAAGATCGCCTGTGGGGAGACATTCTAACCACACACACTGACTGCCCCAATGCATGGATCATGCTAATTGTACACGTCAACTGCTCTAATGCATGGATCACGCTAACCGCACATGTCAACTGCTCTAATGCATGGATCACGCTAACCG